GATAAAAAGATTATCAGAGAACCAATTAAAATCATGATTAGAAATCTAATATTCTAAATGTCACTAAGGTTTAATATACTCATAACTAAATTTTATAGAACTGATAAGCTTAATATTTAAATTATCTTATGCCATAGGAAGTAAATAGCACATTTTACAAATCAATGTAGAAGTTAGAATTACTTTACTGTCAAAATTTTATATATGATACACAAAAAATCCTAGATTATATTTGAATATACATGCAAAAGTTATCGTAGAGAACCCCAATAATGAATTAAGAGAAATATTTATTACTATAAATGTATATTTCCCTAGAAACTCAAGAATAAATCTACACTACGAAACATATTAATACCAGTAAATTAAAGGAGAAAAATTGTGTTCATACTAATAAATGCTGGAATTTTATTTATTGAAGTACATATCTATCTTTATTAAACTAAATAAAAGGAGAAAAAAAGTACTGTATTTAATAGTAATAATTTTAAACTATCAGCAACTACTCCATTTTCCATTTGGGACTCAAAAAATGCATTTGATTACCACTCGGAACTTCAGAGTGTAGGACTCTCCACATCATTCTTTGAAGGTTGTACTAAAGCCAGAAGTCAAGAAAATAATATTTATTTTTGTGGAAAATATAACTGTATATTTGGGAAAAACAAGACTCAAAAAAACTGATGTTGAATTGATAATTTTAAAGTCATTCAAATTCAAGAAATCACTACATTCCTTTTTTATTAGAAATGTCTGTAGTAATAATGTTTATATTATGGAGTTGCTCCATGTACATGACACATCTTCATTACATTGTTCATCACATTTACCTCCCCTCCTTCCACCTCCTTCCACATCTTGATCTCCTTCTTGTTTGAGAAAAATTTGTCTCCCTGCTTCCTATTATCTTTTGTTTTTTTCTTTATTTATAATTTGGGTTTCTCTTATTAGAGATCATTCAGTATTTAAGCTTGTACATCTGATTTATGTAACTTAACATTATGGTTTCAGGGTGTATCCATTTTCCTACAAATGACTCAGGTTTATCTTTCTGTATGGGAGAGCGGTACTCCATTCTAAGTTAGCCTATATTCTAAGCTTATTTTATCAATAACTTCTCAAAAAGGTATAGAGATAACTAATGCCATAATAGCAATGAAAATTATGTTTACATTAAAAGTAAATGTCTGGGAACTACATGGTGAAGTTATAAAAATGGTTAGAAATTCATCAGATAGGGCTTAAATATAAGGACAGAAGACCATATCTAAGAGCACTGTTATAAGAATTCAAGTAATTACCTGAGTATATACATTTTGATATATTAAATGTGTAAATAAAATTTTCACATTATGTTATATGGATTAGATTGGATTTGAATTTAATGAAAATAATGTTACAGCTTATGTACTGGGACAAATTTTATAGAATTAAAAACAATAAAAAATAATAATGGTAATTATAAGATATGAGTGATTTATAAAACCATTCTGATCGAATCAACAGATCATTAATATAAGGTAGGCTGAAAACGTCCTAGAAATGAAATTTTCTCATATCAATTTAATAGAAAATTTTACCAGAAAATATAATATATTTGCTTTATAGTATTTTCTTTTCCTCTCTTCCCTTTCATGCCTTCACTTTCCTTTTTATACATGCAAGATTTCACATTCATCATACTCATTCCTCGGGAAAAAATGTCAATTTCCTTAATTCAGTGTTTCTTGACCTTGACACTCTGAACTAGATCATTCTTTGTGTGGGTGTCACTCTGTGCATGTTTAACACCCCTGGCCTCTGTCAACTAGATCCCTTACCACATTCCACTTTCCAGTTGTGCCAAACAGACATTGACATATGGTCACTGGCACTGGGGAAGAGTCACCCCTAATTGAAAAGTATGTTCTAATCCATTCTTCAGGATGATTATATCATGGTTGTTCAAAAAGTTGTTAAGTAAATCTTAACTGAAAAATAAATATGCTTGAGAGTTTATCTTTAATTTTGTTGAGATTGATCAAAAGGGCAAGTAGCCAATAAAATAACATGTACACAAATAGATGGCTCTTTAAGAAGAAAATCCAGATAATTAATATACATATAAAAATAGTTTCAATGACAGGAACATGGAAATAAAGAATAATGATATTTATTTTACTAATCACATAGACAAAATCTAAAATTATTAGAAAAACATGGCCCACATATGACCACTGCCAGTCATAGAGTGATGGAGATTTTTCATACATTATTGTCAATGCTTTGCTATAGATTATTGGAACAGCATTGCAAGCAGTGCTATGAATAGAAGTCAGTCATGTGGGAATAATTTCATATTTACATAAATGTGGATGATGAAATGATTTGAAATCTAGGTGAAAGTTAGATGTTCAATCATGGAGAAATGGCTATACCAGCATCTCTCAGGGAACTCGAATCTATTCATCATAATTTGCTTCTATATACTTTCTCCCTCTGTAGGCCTTCAGAAAAATTTCACCTCCATTCCATTGTGCCTGGATTAGTGATCTGAAACCAGTGATAAGTAAACAGGATCGATTTTTCCTTTTCTTTGAGTTGTTGATCATATTCAGAGCCATTGGATCCCATTGCACTTTGCTTAAAGAGATCATGGCATTTTGTCAGTTCTACAAATTCTTCATATACAACTTTACTCTCTTTTCTGGAAGAAAAATGTTGCATTTCTCTCTCAGTGCTTTGTAGTGGCTACTGTTCTTGTAGAGTGAGGAACATGTCAGAAGGTGAAAACTTTCTCATTCCCCAAAACCTACAAAATTATTTTCTTTTAAGGTAAGTTGTAAGTTTCAGAGTTTGGAGCTTTGATTAGAGCCAAACGCACATGTTCCTCAGTGAATCCAAAAATTATGGAAGATTTTTTAAAAATCAGAACACTGGAGAAAAAAATGGAATCAGTGTCAAGATACACTCTCACTCTTTAATTTTTGAGGATTTTAAGTCATTTGTGAAAATACACATCTATGCTAATAGATTTAGTCTAACTGCCTAAATAATCAGTATTTTATGTAGAAAAGTATCAAGATTAATTCTTGAGAAGAATCCTAGTGATTCTTAAGCATTGCTTCTTTATCTTTCTGTATCAATATGTTTTCTTAATGTTTTTAATTACAAAGATTATAATCTTTTTATTTCCTATGGGTGTCATAAATAAGGGAGCAACTGATCCAAATTTCTCTGTTTAAAATGAAAAAATTGTAAAGGATAGCAATATAATGGTTCTTAGTTTTTGTCTTATGAATTTCTTCATAATGATAATGCAGCTATTTTACTGTCCACTTATGACTTATCTACTTATCACTTCATGGAGATAATAAAAAAAGTATTCCTATATTCCTCTCTATCCTCCACACTTCATACTATTTATACTTTTTCTCTTACACTCCTCGTGTATGTTCTTCTCTTATAACTCCCCTTGGTAAATTACCTCCTACACAACAGTAGATTAATTTTTAAAAAATAGTTCTATGCTTGACATCCTTTCTAATTCAGAACACTTACAAACATCCCTGTAAAATGAAGATTAAATCCTTTCTTTTGTCTTTAAATAATACCATAGATTGGCCCCAATTTACTCTTCCAGATTAATTCATTTATTCAATTCATTCTATGTATCTATTTTCATTGGCTAACAGACATCGATTTTATTTCTATCACACTAAAGGGTTAACATTCTTTTTAATAAGAATGAATTACAGTTTTTTATAGCCAGAGTTAGAATTTTATCTGAAATGTAATATGTTAATTGATTTTTTCCTTGTTTCAACTTATTTACAGATTACTTTCTCATAATGGTTATCTGATAATATTGATTGCAAGACAACTCTCCTACCTCCAAGTTCTAAGCAGTTTCTTGTTTTTTTTTTTTATAATTTCAGATTATATTCTCAATGCTTTCAAAGCCCAATGGTGATTTTTAAAAAGAAATTAAACATGCTTTCACTGAATTTTAGAAAATCTATACAATTCAAGCTAATAAAATATTTTATTATACATAATAAAAGTGGTGTTTAAAAAAATTTCCAGGCCCAGATGTTTGCAGGAGTATGTGAGGAACAGATTTCACTCAAGTATAAGAAGCAAAATTCTATTGAATGAAATCATAAATTCACCCAACTCCTTATAGTAAATGCTAACATTCACCACAGGTTTGAAATCTCTGTAGTATTAATATATCAATTTCTTAAAATATTACAGACATGCTTATGATGCATAGGAAGATGGAAAGACTTGAGACTGTGACTACACACCATATGTACGCCCAGCTTTCCTAATTTACAACCAGTTAAGAATTACAATATCCAAAGAAAGTATTTTAAAATAATATGTGACTCACTGTTAAGTGATTTTTCTACTCAAGTAAATAGGAAAGTTTGCATTTTAATGTTACACTGAATTTCAGTACATTTCAATTCAAGGAAAAAAACTGAGACATGGTCATGAGTTCAGGATTACATATATTATGATTTGCCTCATTATACTATATTTGTGGTTTTATGATAAAAATAACTCAGGGACATATGGAATTCAAGCTAATTTGCATAACTGTCACAAGAAAAAAGCATTAAATGGATTTATAAGATAAGTATTTTCATTTAATTTCAGAATCTCAAAATAGCAATAGACCTTGGCCTTGTTTAAAAAAGAGTTTAAACACTGAGCTAGTTGAATAACCTCACTGAAAGATTTAGACACAATTGCTGTAGAAAATGCTTTCCCTTTAATATCAATCTTACATAAGTGGAAGAGGTGAAGGGGAAAAGGTAGACAATTTCTTTAGCAGCATATAAGGCTAAGTCCATCAACCACCTTACTCTACAATGTCTATTACTGATCCCATTAAAAAGAATTTGGCTAATATCAAAAGTTACTCATTTCATAAGCCAAAAGACAACAGTTTTAGGGTTATACTAAGTAAAATATTTTTGTAATACTTCAAAAATTTTAACCCTAAACTAGAGGAATCAGCTCTTCATTGTAACAAAGAAAGGAATAACAGAAAGTAATAGACATTTAAACTAAACTCATTTATTTCAATCCTCTTCAAACAAAAGTAAAGAAAATAATGGTTGATTAGCTAACTTTTGTGCTCTAACGAAACTAATTAATTACATTGATTTTAAGTGGCAATAGCCCATGTGATTGGGCAGCTTGACAGTTCTGAACACTTGCAGTAATTCTTTTAAACGCAAAGATTACTAAAATGATCCAGACATGCAATGTTCATCTTATGCGTTCTGCATTTCTTTGTCAATCTTGTAGCTAAGGATCTTGTTCCAATCAATCTTAGTATGTGTAACTGGCAACTGTCGACATAAGGTCTTGAAAGTAGTGTCCGAAATTGTCTGGTAATTCTCACTGATGGCAGTCTGATATTCATTTTCTGCAGCTTCTACAATCTTTATTAATTCTTTTGCTGTTTGCACTTCATTAGACACTGTTAGGGAACCTTGTGTATCTTTATGACTCACTAGCTGAACATTTCCATCTTCATAATAATGAACCTGAATTTTCAAGATGCCAACTACCTGAGTGGTTGAAGGTGAGACTGTAAATTTCCACTCTGACCTCCAAAGACCATTCCAAAAGTTTTTCGCTTGGAACTGATGGCTTTCTATGCATGCAATAATGGTTTGTTGTCCATCTATCTTTTTACCGTATACAGTGCAGACCCTGTTTGGGTAATGTTCTTTTACATATGCTCGTAGTGCAGTTTCTACAAAAGTTCTCCATGATTCAACTGCATTTTCTGCTTCATAGAGTCTTGGATCAGTCGCTTCCTTTCTTAAGTGATCAAATTTGAAACAGATTCTGTTTTTTGGGTACAAAAACTTTCCATTTCCCAAGTCGCCATGTTCTGTTATCAATACCTGATCTTCGTAACCTTCAATCCAAGTAAACTGATCCAAGTTACACTGTGCAAATGCATGGGTCGCTCCCTCTCTCAGGAGATTATCATTATTAAGCAGTAATCGAACATCATTAAAAACCTCATTAAACTCTCCAGGAGGGGCATGAATGATGAATTTTTCTGCTATAAGTACCTTCTCCTCATCAGACAACTGTTCCTCCAGATCCGCCATCTTCCTGCTGGCGACAAACCGTGCGGTGGTGGCAGCAACCACCTGACTTCCCCCTTTCCACGCGGTCCTATAAGGGGCACGCCCCCGCCAAGGGAGGGGCAGGACGTCTAGGCTACTGCGCATGCGCACAGAGGCGCTCCGGCCCTTCAAAGGCTGGGAGAGGGGGTTGTCTCCTATCGCCTGCTGCAGTCTTGTCAGCATCGGGTATAGGTTTCTTTCTCCAGCAGTGGGCCAGATGGAACAGCAAGCACATTCTGCGCCCTTGATAATGTTTCCATCATAGGCTTGGACTCTGACTCTGCCAGAGTTTGTAGAGGTTTCAGTCCATAATTGGCTGGCTCCAAGGTAGGGTGGCAGAGGGACAACAGTTCATGGCGGTGGAAGACAGCAAAAGCAACCAAAGACCTTCTCTAAGCAGTTTCTTACAACCACTTTTGCGACTTATGGTACTTAACATTTTAATAGTTGATCTTTATGTACTAGCTTTCTAGTGTTCTTGTTACAGATAAAGAGAGTAACTCCCATCCATACTTTATATAACATATATTTGAAAACATTAGTTTAAATAACTAATAAATAGATTGCTTAGCTATTTATATCAAATCTCAGTCTCTTTTTGGGTGGAAGGTAAAACAATATACTCTGGTCCTATGATTTTATATTGCAATTTGTTTTACATTTCTGCTTTGTTCAGAGTGACTCTAATGAACTTATTTTCTTATTCTGTGCTTTTTTCCTCTTGTATATTTTAGTACAGTACATTAGGGCACCATGATCATGATGTCCAAAGTTTGATGAATTTATACATTTGCATAGATAATAATAAACAATATATAACCTTAGATTCCTTTCATACTAGGTAAATTATATATCCTATTGTATGCATTATGCATTGTGTCAGTTGCTTAACAGGTTCTTTCATTAATGATATCATTTTTCTTCTGTAAAATACTGGGAAAGTTCATTTTGAAATGAAATATAAAGCATATTATACAGCTTTCCAATTCAGGGGATTATTTCTTAAAATATATGTAGATATGAATAATTAACTTATAAAGAATTCAAAGGGAAGATCAGACACATATTTCAGTTTTTAAAATGCTAAAATGTGTTATATCACTAACACATGAGGGTTAGGAAAATACTGTGGCAAAATTAAATTAGTGGTATCACCACAAACACTATTTTTTAACCTACATGTAAAATCAGATGCATCCCATATATCAATCGGATAAAAGATGTGGAAAAACATCTTGATATAAAATAAATTTCACCTTATTTTACAATTCTACCCTGGAAATCATAAAGAAAATAACTGCTCAGATTTAGAGAAACTTAAATTATTATTTGTTATGTACTGTCTGCTAACATAAACAGAAAAAGATAGTAGCAGTTTCTGATTTAAATGAGCAATTTGTTTTTAAAATGTTCATTAAACCTGGCATGGTAAAGCATGATTTTAATCTCAGCTCTTGAAGGCTGAGGCAGGAGATCAGCAGGAGTTCCAGCCCAGCCTTGGGTACATAGTGAGTTCAAGGACACACTGCAACACAAAGCAAGACCCTGTCTCAAAAACAAAATAAAACAGAACATAAAAAAGAGAGAGAAATGTTCATTAAGTGTCAAAGGAAATCCTTATCTTTCTAGTAGTGCAAAATATTATGCCTTTAAATTCTTAATATAAAACTATCAAAGATTCAATATTATCTCCCTTCCCCCTGTTAGACTCATCTGTATAGGTCTCATTTTGTCTTCTCATGTTCTCATGTTTCTATATTCTGGCTAGAAAAATCTGAGTAGCCTTTTCTGAGCTCCACTGTAGGCTACCTCTATAAATCTTTGGCCTATTGTAACTAAATATTGAGTCTCTAACATCATCATCACCACCACCATAATCATCACCATCACTATCATCATCATTTTAACTTTTCAAATGATTATAATAGAGTTGTCAGTATTGTAGAGCCAAATGACAAACATTCTGCAATAGTGAGATTAATTAATTGTGAAAGATTTTTAGGTGGATATTTGTAGTTGGTCATTTTTGCTAACACAAAGTTTTTCCATAATGTCAAGTAAGAGTAAATAGAACATTCACTGAAACAAATCAACTCTACACATCAAATAGAGCCATGGTGAAAGAAAAATTTCTGAGGTAGCAGGAACTATGGTTTTTCTACAGTTGCTTCTGTAGTTGCTTTCTGTAGTTTCTAATTACTAAGTGAGGAAATTCAGACTAATGGCTGAATGTTGCACACTTAGTCCTGGCTTCAATGTGGAATAACATATTAACCAAAACCAGATTTTATTCCATGCTTAAGTAATACCTGAATAAATATTCACATGCACACCAAATGAACCCTTCACACATTTTTTTTTTAACCTGAGAATAAAGGTGTGAATATTGGGAAAATTTCATGGTATCAAGGGCTTAATCATTTGTGGACAGAAATTGCAAAAAATAAAAGAAAACTAAGAACAAATAATGACAAGATATGCAACAAACAAATTTTTGAAAATCTGGTCTATGAGAGATTTTAGTTAGATTCAGTTGTCATATTACATATTTTTTAGTTGTTGAAATCTTAATAATGCAGAGGGATACGTTACTTTAAATTTGGGGAGAAATTACTTCAGCAGAAAAATTTGTAAATGTTCCTAGAATAAAAATTTGATGTTTTAAATGAATGGAAAGAAAGTGAGTGTGAAAGTAGAATAGTGATAAATGCTAAACTTGGATTGTGAAGCAGGGACCATCAAGAAAATGGCTTCTTTGCAGTAGCAGAATGTATTTTAATATTTATTCTCACAGCAAAGCAGAAATGAAGGAGGTTTTGAGGAGAGAGTAGCACCACGTGACATGCAAGTTATAAATCTCTGATTATGTTAGAAAAACTGGTGGGGAGGTGTCTAAAAACAAGTGGAGTAAAAAAAGATAGCCACTGGAACACAAGATAAGTGTGTGGACCAAGAAGAAAATGTTCCAGAATAGGAAAAATAATGGATTTTCTTTTTGGTTCTGTAATAGAAATATAT